ATTAACTTGGCAAAAAAGAAAAAAAAAAAAAGAAGAATACCATTTACATTTCCTTTATTAATTGCCTACTTACCTTGCTTGCTTATGCATAAATATCATACTCACATTCATGTCATGTATGTCATCATGCGTGTCATCATGCGTGTTAGAGAGAAAAGGTAATTAATATCGCGTGATATTATATATGGTGTATATATGCTAAATGCTTGATGTTGTAGATATTCTAGATGTTGTAGATGTCGCAGATATTGTAGATATCGTAAGATATCGTCAGGATTCCAATTATTTAATTATACTATTTAGTATATGTTAGAATTAATTTGGTATGCGCTAGGACTATTTTGCTATATGCTTGAATTCATGCTAGTAATTAAATGTAAATTAAATATAAAATTAATTAATGGTAAACAAATGTGAATAATATTAACTGTTAATAGTATAAAATATTAATATAGAATAAAATATTACATAATAATTTTATTATTATTATTTCATCATTAAAGAAGATTCTCCTCTCCTACTCCCGTTCACTTGTTCTCTACAACTTCTCTCGTATTCTCCACCTCTCATGTTCTCATATTCTCGTACTTTCATATGATGATTAAAAAAAAATTCACACGAAAACAATAAAAAAAAAATTGGCGTCTTCTTTCTGACATAATCAGCAACAAATTTCATATTGTAGTGAGATTTTCATGATGTTATTATTGATATTATTATTAATGTTATTATTTAATATTATCAATTTGATAATATTATCTTGGTTATAACTTACGATTATTGTATATTTTTATCACATTTGTTTACATCGTTTACATTTGAATTAATAATTTTAATTAATAAATAAATAAATAATAATAATAATCAACAACATGCATTATTATTATTACACGTATTTTACTCACACACTACACGTTTCTTCATCTGGAGAATTAAACGAAATTAGAAATGTGGAATAAAAAGGGAAGGGAATAAATAAATAAATAAATAATAAATAAATAATAATAAATTTAGGTTGGATCAACTCGTCTTTTTTTAAAAAAAAAATGAAAAATGAATTAAAAAAAATATGAAAGAGTATCATTACTTGATTTAGATCTTTTTTCAAAAACCTTTTTTTAAAACAGGTGACACCCTTTTTTTTTTAGTACTATTCTAACTTGACTACCATTGTTCTTTATTTCCATTCTTTATTTCCTTTCATCATAACTTCCATTCATCTTTCTTTATCTCTTTACTATTCTTGTCGGAACTACCAAACTTTTACTCAATTTAGTAATTAAATATTGTGAAATAAATGATAAAGATATGATGATGATTAACAAAACATATTTATATGTAAGAAAGAAATAAGTTTGAAAGGAAGTGCTTATCTTCACAAGTTTTATACAAGTTTATATAAGTTCATTGAACTGTCAAAATTTTTATTAAACAAAAGCAGAATAATTGAATTATAGTGAAAAAATGTACGATGACGAATATTTGTAACATGACGTAAAAAAAAATAAACTCGCTTTATGTTTTCTAAAAAGAAATTCATATTTTTTGTTTTCTAAAAAAGAAATTCATATTTTTGTTTTCTAAAAAAAAAAAAAGAAAAAGAGTTCTAAATAGGTTAAAAAAAATATGGGCGAAATATGACGGAATGCATATGCTAATTAAAATATCTCCAATTATAGGAATTCTATGAATTAATGAAATGAACGAATTAACAATAATAATTATTATCATTATTATTAATTACAGGTAACAGGAAAAAAAAAAAAAAGTTAATTAGAATTTGTTTATAATATACTATACTAATTATATATTGTTTGTTTATTTGTTATCAGGTCACACGTGCAACTGTCAAAATATTTAGTATTATAAAAAATAAAAATATACTTTTTCGCGATGGTTTTTTCTCCATCCTTAAAAAAAATACCTTAAATATACCTTAAATACATACCTTAAATATAACAAATAAAGAATTAATATAAATATATATAAATATAACAGATAAATAAAGGATTAATATAAATATGACATATATAAATAAATAAATAAATATAAATAAAAGAAATTAATATAAATAAAAGAATTAATATAAATATAAATAAAGAATTAATATAAAATCAGAAATTCCCCCATAATTTTTTTTTTGTTTGTGTTTCTCTCCACTCAATTAAAAAAAATCTCACACTTTCAGTAAAATGAAAAAAACGTGTACAGGGAGACAAACACGGAAATGGTAATTCAATTGTATTTTATTTTTTTTATTTTTTTTTTATTTTAACCATAATAATGATAATAATTAATTAATAATAATAATATTATTATTATTATTAATGATAAGAATAATATTATTATTGTATATACAATAATATTTTTTTTTTTTACCGTATTTTATTTCTTATTTTATTCAATTTTTCAAAAAAAAAAAAAAATGAAAAAACTGTCAAAATTAAAAATATTTTTAATATAGAAATAAACTATAAATAATATATATGCACATATTTTTAGACGATGATTATATAATCATTCAGGTGTGCATATAATAATTATATAATAATGATATAATGATTTAATAATTTCTATTGTCACGGATATTATATTGTTTTACTATTATTATCTTTGTTATTGATATATATATTTTTTTTACATTATTTACTGCTTATTTTAGTGACATCATGATTTTTGAGAGAGAGAGAGAAGTTGATGGAGTAAAATGTTTACTTAAGAAGATAACAATGTGCAAATAAAAAAAATTTCTTTGGGAATATTTTTCATTATTGATATTCATGTTTTTGATGTTATCTTTGTTTGAATGTTCATGTTTTTAATGTTATCTGTTTATTTATTTATATTTATTTCATATTTCCCATTTCATTTATTTATTTATTATCATTTATTTTATTCATTTATCCATTTATTTATTTATATTATATTTATATTTGTCTGTGGTGTTTTCCATGAATTTATATAATTTGGTAATAAATAAATAAACATTTTTCTTATTATTAAATTTAACCAAAAACTTAATTGTTAAGATTTTTTTTTCTAAAAAAAAAAAACTGGATTTTTAACATTAATGATAAACAACAACCGACTCAACATAACCAACAGACTTACACAATCAAACAGACAATAGACAAATATGTATTCTTGTGTATCTTGTGCATGGCTGACCATACTTGTTTTGAGAAAAATAACGACGACCTGGGTATGGCGAGGAGAAGTCCTAGAGAAGTAAATATGAGTAAATGGGAAGTAAAAAATGTACTAAGCAAATAATGAGCAATCAGTAAAATGAGAGTATATAAGAATGAAATCAAATAAGAATAAAAATTAGAGGTAATAGTAAGTAAAAGTAATTAAAAATACCATTAATACATTAAATAAGTAATGATTCATTTTTTTTCATATGCAATTTTTTAATAATTAAATAAATTATAAATAGATAATAATAATGTAATAATATCAATTATTAAATTATTATTATTATTATTATTATTATTATTATTATTATTATTATTATCATTATTTTATTATTATTATCTGTTACTATTATATCATTATATCTATGACCAAAAATAACAGTAATAATCAAACACAATACGAAATTCACAATACCCAAAAGAAAAATTATAATATAATTATAAATATAATAACTAGTAATGATTAGTAAGTGAATTTAATAATTAGTAATAATTAATAAGATTAAATATAATTAATAATTTAATTAGCATTAGTAAAATATATAATTATAATCATAATAATAATATATCATTATTTATTTATATATCAAATTAAATATAATACTCAATGTACTCGATATAGTTTAAATTTTTTAATTTATTTGCAATATTTCACATGTCAATGCTGTTAAAAAATAAAGGGTTCAAACTTGGGGAGGATAAAACACTTTTATTTTTTTTTTTGTTGGCGTGTATGACAAGAAGTAAGATTTTGAGTATAAAAGAAGAATTTTCATGTGGGTTTTATTTTTTAAATTTGAATTATATATTTATCATTGTCTTTGACTTAATAAATAGTATAAATAGTATAAATAGTATAAATAATATATAGGTTTATGTATGTTATCGTGGATGGATGTTTAACATCATATCATATTATTATATTATTTATATTATTTTATTATACTATACTATATTATACTATATTATACTATATTATACTATATTATACTATTATTATATTATATTATATTAATATTATATATACACCACATTTTATATTTATTTTTTGTTATTGTTTGTTTGAGCAAACGTCAAAAAATCCATAAAAAAATTTTTGGGTTACTACAATCAATTTATTAATTAGTTTAATCATTTAAAACTTTAAAGAAAAAAAAATAAATAAAAAATGCATATATACACCTCAAATCCCAACTTCATTCTTCTTCCTTCTTATCGATACATCATTCTCATCTTTTTTTTTTTATTTGCCACCCTTACGAACGAAATATTTGATATTTATTAATTAATTAAGTTCTGTAAAAAAGTTAAGGTAAATAAATTCAACAAATTCATCAAAAATTGAATTATTCTTAATTTCAAATTTTTTTTAGTTTCAATCTTTCGAATTTCAAATTTCTTTTTAATTTTTCAATCAATTAATCAATCAATTACCAAATTTCATTTACAAATAATTTCACATTCAATTACAAATTTACAATCTTATTATTAATAATTTAAAATTCCCTAAATGCTAACTTTTTTTCTTTTTTACTCACTCACGCTTTTAATTTTAAAAGAATAATGGCCGCTGCACTATCCAACATTTTGCACCCCACTCCAATAACGATGGTCTCGTCAATTCCTCCAATTCAAATTTTCGCTCAGTTTCCTGAACAACATCAACATCATCAACATTCTTCAATGGATCCTTCAACTACTATGAATCATTCCGATGCTACGACTACGACCAACAACAACAACAACAACAACAATAATAATAATAATAATAATAACAATAACAACAAGTCGAAAAAAAGGCACATGCAAGCTGATGCTCCTCGTCCTTATAAGTGTACCATCTGTGGTAAAGCATTTTACCGTTTGGAACATCAAACTCGTCACATTCGTACTCATACAGGTAAGAATTTGTTTATTTTTTATTATTAAAAATTAAATATAATAATTAAATAATGATAAAAAAAATTCAATAAAAAAAATTAATTAATTAATATTTATTAATTTATTATTAAAACAGGAGAAAAACCACATCGTTGTGAATTTCCTGGTTGTGAAAAAAGATTTTCTCGATCGGATGAATTAACACGTCATAGACGTATTCATACAAATAAAAGAGATAAAAGATCCAAACCTCAACCTCAACAACAACAACAACATCAACAACAACAACAACAACAACAACAAAAATTAACATTAGAATTTAAAAATACTCCACCTCCACCAGCTCTTGTTCCTTTACAATTTGAAATTTTACGTCAACAACAACAACAATTTGAACAACAACAATTCGAACATCAACAATTTGAACATCAACAATCATTTGATGATGACGAAGACTTATTTTTTAATGGAGGAGGTGGTTTTCGTACTCGTAGTAATAGTGGTAGTTCTACAATTAGTAGCTCCAGTAGTTGCTCAAGTTCAGGCGGAAATCATCATTTAATTAATACAAATATGACTAATATGCTTCCTCATCCACATCCTTATCATCATCCTCAACATCATCAACATTCACATCCTTATCATCATCACCTTCATCATCATCATCATCACCATCATCACCAAATTCATCCTCATTTCAACAATTCAATCTCTAATGCTATTTCTATTGTTGGGGGTAATAATAATAATAATAGTAATAATAATTATTCTTGTCATCGTCACGTTCCTCAACAACAACAACCACAACAACAACATCATCATCATCATATTCAATCACAACAACAAGAATTTTCTTTATTGGAATCTCAACATCAAAATAAGAGAATCCGTAATGATGATGATGATTGTAATAATAATAATAATAATAATAATCCTCCATTGTCAACAATTCAATTTGATAGTCAATTATCACCACCTTTATGTCACGATACTGGTTCGGATGAAGAAACTGAAATGGTTATTACTCCCAAACATTCTCCATGTTTAGGCCCTCGTATAGTTAGTCCAGTTGATTGTTTTACTATTAATCCTTTAAATACCATAAGTCCTATTAATGGTTCTATTAATAATAGTTCTATTAATAATTCTATTAATTCTAATCTAATTCCAAGTTTTTATGGAATGAGTCTTAATTGTTCAACATCAACATCTCCTTCTTCTCCTCCTCCTCCTCCTATTTCTTCATCCCCTCCTTCTTCTTGTCTTAATGGTTCATGGAATTCTTCTACTACTAATTCCATAATAACTTCATCCACGGTAAATCGTATTAGTGATATTGTTAATGATCCCACTTTTTCTCCAAGTGTTAGAACTTTACCTCCACTTCCTAATAATACTACTGCTACTAATACTACTACTAATGGTGGAGCACCTCCTTTCGTTAGGTATTCGTAGTATATTTTTACTATCGAATGACTGGTGTACTATACTAAATTATTGTATAGTTTGGAGTAATTTTTTGGTGATTTCGTTTCTCTTTTTCTCTTTTTTTTTTTTATCGAATTTTTTCTCCTTTTATTTTATTATATATCGATCGGTTAAAATATATTCTCGCCGAAGAGGATAATAACTCCTTTCGTTGTGATTATCATTTTTTTTGATTATATTTACTCTTTGAAAATTCTTTTTTTTTGAAGAAATTCAAATATTCTTTTAGGAGAAATTGTATATATACTTATTATACATAATTTCTTATACACTCTTTTAAACTTATCCAAATTAAAAAAATTTGGATTTACATTCATTTTCGCTCAAAACTTTTTAATTTGTCTTTTAAATTTATTTTTATTTTTTATTTTTTTTTTTTTATAAAAAAAAACAAAATGATTCATAAAATTTGATTGGGGTGGGCAAATACCATATTCAAATTTTATTATTTTATTATCATTTTCGAAGAAAATGAAGAAAAAAAATCATTTTCATTTTTCGAAATTTATTATTTTTTTAATTTTTATTTTTTCATTAATACAAAATATCGTACATTACGAATCCAATCTCTATTTCTTTTTTTTTAATAACGTTAACATTTCAAAAAAAATCGAACGTTATTGCGAATATTTCTACATATTTTCACATATTTTCACTTTTTCATTTTTCACGAGAGGCAATTGTAAAGAAAAAGATCGGCCTCTTGCCATTTTTATTATTATCATCATTAACCTTTGGGTGGGCCCCAAATTTGTATTCATATACGTACATTTTATATTTTACAGCAACATTCTTTTCTTGTATGATATTTCTTCCTTTTTTCAATATAGAAAATTTGATCATTTTTTCCCCAGTTTTTTATATCGTGTTCATTTTTTGTAAATACATTTTTTTTCCTTAGATTTTTTTTAACTCTAAAAAAATTTTTTTTTCTTTCTTTTATTTACTGTTAAATAGTTTTTATACAAACGAAAAAAAAATTAAGAATTTTTAAAATATCAAAAAAAAAAAGCAGAGGGATTTTATAATTTAAGTTTAATATTATCACTATTAAGGATTTGAGAATACACGTGTGTGATGTAAATTTTTTAGATGGCGAGCATTTCTTTGGGAATCAAATAGAAAAGCTAGAATAGACGCGAATTTTTCGTTTCCTTTTTTTTTATCATTATATATTATTCCCTTTTTTTTATAAAAAAAAAACAAAAAATTCTAAACTTATGAAAAAAAAAATTAAAAAATTCTATAGAAAAAAAAAATTTACATGTTAATTTATTATTATATCATTTACATTTTTTATATTTATTATTCTAAAAAAAAAAACGCGTCTATTTCTTTATTTTCCAATTTCCTCTCTCTCAAAAGAAAGACATCACCTGGTGTTTTGTCAAATAACAAAAAAAAACCAATTCAAAATCCCTTTTTGTAACTAAAAAAAATATATATTATATGACATGAGCATGGTTTCTGTCAAGAATATATATAAATATACAGTTTTCTTTTTCTTCTTTTGTACAAATTAAGATTTAATCCAATCTCTCTATGTATATACATCTTTATAAATATAATCTCCTTTTTTTTTTCCTTTTTTCTCCTTTTGAATTTTTCAAAATTTAAATAAGCTTAAAAAATTATACAATATTTATATATTTACAAAAAAAAAAAATCCTCAAAAAATTAAGAGATATTCTTTCTTTACATATATATATTATTTTTTCGAAAAATACATCAAAAAAAAAAAAATTTTTTTTTTTAAAATAAAACCTACTTTTTTTTTCGTTTGTTAAACTTTTTTTCGGAATGTATTATTCTTTGAAAAATAAAATAAATAAAAAAAAAAATTCAAAAAGTCTTGACTACTAAAATTGAAATCAAAATTAAAATAATTAATGATCGTGAATGAATGAAAGATGCGCGTTAAGATTTATTTTTGCTAATAGTAAATGTTATTATAATTATGATATATTTCAAATTTGTAATCCATCTCTTGTAACAATTACGTTAATTACATTTTTCATATGAAAATATTGTGTGAATCATCATTTCTTCCTGATTTGCTTCCGGAATTTAAAGAATAGGTGTATAAAAAAAAATATTAAAAATATTTGTGGGGTGATAAAGAATTTATTTATCAAAGCCACGATTTCGGTTAAACTATTATTAAACCTTTATGATTATCATAAGTAAAAAGTGTGCGCGATTTCAATATTTTTTCTAGAAACTTTATGTAGTTTTACGAGATTTCTTGTGACTTGAAAATAATAAATATTCACATTATTACATATTGTTTTTCCTTCGCTTTTTTGTATATTGGATAAAAAATTAGCGATGAATTTTGGTTTTTGAATCTTTAACTTGATTGTTGTTGAATCATCAGTTGCAGTTGTAAAAGACGCATTCTTTTTGTTCACTTCCTAGGGAGGTTAGTTAAATCATTAAGAGCACATTCGCTTTAGTCTTGCGTCTACTTCAATAATAAATTACTAAAATATTAATATCAATTGAAATACTTTTGGAAAACAATTCGAATTACTTTTAATGCAGTATCTGAAAACGTTTTCCATAAGTTTTCTTGACCATTGGTTTGTCGCTATTGGAAAATGTGAATTAAAAGAGTACATTTGCAAACTAGCCGGTAGATTTATAGAAATTTTATGGCACTCAGTCATTTACAATCACTTTTTTTTTCAAAAGCTAAATAATATCATGACATAATCTTCAATAGGATTAACTAGAGAAAAAATTCTATAATTAAAAATAACATATTTGTGGCTTAAAACACTTAAAAAACAATATCAAGGGATGGTTGTAATACATCAATAATAGGCACTACTATTTCCGGAGAGAATCAAGGCTCCATCAAGCAACATCCAAAAAAGATTCCTTGAGCTCCATTTTCATCTCAATCCATTGCAGCCTTATAATTCTGACAGTTGTATACCTCAGACCTACCAATATTTTGAACACTTCCATACCAGCCACATGTTTTAGAGGTATAGGCTTCATTTTGAATAATAATGTGGTCATCTAATTCTTTGATCTTGGAGATTAGATGTTGATGGAAATGGTAATGTGGTCTATAATATACACTAGTCAAATACAAAAGAATTGCTGTACCAGATGGTAATTCCTATATTATAAATCAATTAAAAATCAGAATTCCTATATCATAGACCAGCTAAAAATCAACCATCTTATTATATCCTATATTATAAATCAGCTAAAATTAAAATTCCTTTTTAGTATAGCTATTCTTTTGTATTTGACCTGTAATAGAAATTCCAATTTAGCTAATTTACAATATATTCAGTACAATGATTTTTTTGTATTTGGCTAGTATTCTGAGAGTAGTTTGAATATTCTTTAATTAATAATATACAATTAAGAGTATTTTTGTTTTTTAATATTTGTTATAAGTAGAAATACTTATTATAATTACTTAAAATTAATTATAACTAATTGTACTATATATCTTAATTAATTGTACCATATGTTATAATTAAGGTTACTGGATGAAACTTATTTGAAGATTTGAAAAACTGAAAGTTTTCAAGATTTTTTATTATAATTTTAATATATACTGGTTTGTCAAAAGTATTCAGACAGTTGTTTTTTTTCAAATTTTTTAAAAAATTTCAAGTGTGAGTTCTGGCACAATGAATAATTTAAATTGTACAACCTTTTTTTTAAGAGAATTCCCAGATCAAGGTTATTGTATGATATTTTATTTATTCAAATTGGATATCTGCTCGTTTTAAAATCTTGTCTTAAATAAAATTAATCAAAAATATTAAATTAAATTATTAATTGTAATCTCTTTTAATTTCAATAATTATCTATTGGAAGTGTTTATTATTTTATAAGAAGTTATAGCTCTGTACTAAATATATGACTTTAATTAGTACCATATTTCATATTTTTTAGTTAAAATCAGAACTTTATTTAGACATGACTAAAAAATAATCAAAATTATTGTTGATTATTTACTGTTTAAAGAAAATTATCAATTGTCATTACATATAAAACATAAAACATTATTTTATATCAATGAAATTTTAAAAGTGATATTAAATAATTGTAAAAAAAATATTATTACATATTTACTATAAAAGTTTTAAGCTTATATCATATGAAGAGAAAAAATAATTAACAATTAAACTGTAATAAATAAATACTAATAATTTCTTTAATTCTTAAGATATGGATTTAAAACTTTTACAGTATATGTAAAATAATATTATCTTCAAGTTTATTTAGTATCCATTTTGAAATTTTATTGGTATAAAATAATATTTTATATATAATAACTATTGACAATTTTTTTCAAACAGTAAAATGATCAACAATAATTTATTTTCAAATCCATTGAGAATCTTTTACTTAATTTCAAATGCTAATTGTAATACAATAAATGATCCAAATTACATAATTTTTTTTTAAATAAATTCTTAAATCAAAGCTATCATATAATATCTTATTTACTAAAATTGAATATTTGTTTATACAGAAATTTTATTTTAAATAAAATTAATTAAAAAAGTTAAATCAAATTATTAATTATAAAGTCTCTTAATTTTGATAAATAATTATCATAGATACAAATGATCTTATAACAATTTGTAGCTAATAATGAGAACTACATTTTTATTAAAATTATTTTTAATATTTTTTAGTAAAAAAATAAAACTTTACTTAAGCATAAATAAAAATATTTATATTATCATATATGTTTAAAAATTCTCTTACTGATTATCTTAAATTTACTATAGAAAAGTTATAAAATAATTATTTCTAAATTTGAAAATGTAAAAAAAAAAGAGAAACTACATATATCACAAAGAAACTACATATATTGTTAATTTTTTATTTTATATAATTATAATATAAATATTTAAATTCTAATTTTAATAAAATAATAAAAAATTTTATAAATTAAATTTTTATAAATTATTTTGATTATAAATTTT